CCTTGCGGCTGTGTTTACTCTCCTCAAATTAGTTAATGTCGATGAAAATCAATTAACCGAGTACTTGTATTTGTTATTTTTCCATTAAAGGCAAAATTCTTGCCCAAAATTTTGCATTGGAGACGTTCTTAGCACGTTCGTAATATTTTTGCCCTTCTGCAGTTTCAAAGAAAATGTCCCTCTCTCAAGAGCGCGGCATATGGAAACTAAGGTCTGCTGTGTATTTTTAGAATGGAGACAGACAAGACGTAAAGGCTTCTCTTGGTGAAATTTACGCATAGAGAAAATAGTGAAAATTCAAAGTGCTAAACGTATTGTTTCAAAGAGCTATGTGGCAACATACTTTAACTATTGCTATCGAAAACTAACATCACAGCGCATTACAGAGGTTTACAGATTAACTGTTCTCTATTTCATTATCTCAAGATGAAAAGTTTAGAGTCTACTTAAAAAAATTCATGTTCAGTTCTGTGTAATCAGGAATGTCATGCATTTGGGCTAAGCCACCAGGTCAGTTGTTGATAGTTTCGCGGGCCATACTCTTCTCACTTGCATGTCTGCTAAATATAGTACTTACACTGTAAAGATAAATTAGATGTTGGACACTCTAGTAAACAACTAGGCTTTGAATAAGCCCCTTAGTGCGTTTGGTGGAACAAAAACAAAAAGGTAGGAGAGCAGAGCATGCGAGCGGTACATGGGTGAAACGTCAAGAGAGAAGGTGGACATGCATACCCACTCATTTTTCCCCTGCCTATCCGAGCATTGCATGGACGTGACTCACTTGGCCTGTGGCTTGTAAGTTTTCTTTTCTTCCCTAGATTATTTCTTGCGGCTCATTTCTTTTATCAGTAAACAAATCTTAAATGTCTTTCAGCACAACCTCTCATAAAGATGACACGCCCCATATTTAAGCCTGACGGACTCAATGACCTGATGTTATCAAGCCATCTCAGTCGCCAAACTGAAGTAATTAATCTATCGTCATGACAGGCTGTTTAGTCGACCTTGTAATGAATTCTGCATGATTGTTTACCACAGACCGCTGATGGTGGTCCCTCGAAGAACTAAGTCAAACAAGAAAATTAACGCGAAACTTGAAGAAAACGCAGATTAAAATCATGTGCTGAGTCATAGCTCGTGATTTTGATTGTTACTCGATTACCACATTCCTGACTTTCTCAATCAAGTGATAATTGATTTGCAGGAAGTATAAAAATGTTCGAAGATAGATACAGTGGAGTCCTTTCGGCCACCCCGCTGGTAAAACCACCTCGTTTTTACAGCCAGAACTAAAGCTTTGCCAGTCATTTTTCAGAACCCCTTTAACACGGCTACCCCGTTAATACGGCCAGATATTTGTGGCCAGTTGAACCCATGCTTACAGGCACCAACTACTTTTTTTTTACGCAAGGTTCACTTGGTCTAATCCAAGCCAGAATTTATATAATCTCTCCTTTTCACTTCAGTAATAGGAACACGCGCTTGTGGTTCTGTCCTCTGTTGTTCCGAAATTCGTTGTCGGTCTATCTTGCCATTGGTGTCGCTTTCTCTATTTCGCTAGAGTAGTCTGTCTTTCGTCGCCAATTCATAGCTCTCATGTCGCCGTTCCAAGGCCATGTCGCTTGTCGGAATTTACCCCTAACAGGGCCTCTAGAGTGAAAACAGTGAAAATATTTGTATTTGCAATGAATAGTGGTAGACATTTTTCTATTCCTGCGTGATTTATTTGAGGATTACAAGAAACGAATAAAAAAATCAGAGGTAATCTTTGCCGTTTGCCGTCTGCCGTAAACCTCCTGCTTAAGCTCTCTCTTAAGAAACGTATTTAGCTGAAACTATGCCATACGTCTTAAGATATAACATGGCAGATATGGTGTAGGAGTACACGAACGACAGCATGTTTTACAACTTCCTGTGCGATAACTTACAGGAACCGAGCACAACTGACATAATAATATCAAGATTGAATAGGAAATACCAAATTTTCGTGCAACTGCGTTTGAAATATAGGAGTAAATTTTTACCTTTCCTTGATTGAAGCTAGCCTCATCATATCAAGAAATACGAGAAAATAAATCAAACAGTCAAGTTTCCTCTTTCTTTAGGAACTCAAGACTCGTCTTCATGCAATGTAAACTAAGCGAGATTTTTAGTTTGTACCTGTCCTGATTATAAGACATGGGCGAAGACGAGGTCAATTAATCGAGCTTTTTCTTTCCAATTGCTTAAATTGGAAAATTAACTGNCTCCCAATGTGTGGCTTCATAGCTCAGTTGGTAGAGCATCGCACCGGTATCGCGGAGGTCACGGGTTCGAATCCCGTTGAAGCGCTGATTTTTTTCAGGTTTCTTCTTTCCAATTGATTAAATTCGAAAATTAACTGCGATGGTCATTCTTCACTTTCATAACGTGAAATGATTGAATACTGTCGATTTATTGTGGATGTAAACTAATTTATCTTTTTTAAGTTCCAATTATAATGTAAAATGGTAGTTCAGACACTGAAGCCATCGCATAAAGCTACGAGCTCATGGACATGCAATACGTACAGAGACATGAAAATCGTAAGCTACTGACACGGGAGAACCTAGTAGTCTCTGTACAGAACGTAATGCAAAGGAACAAACTTATCCGTCATTCAAGCTACAAAAAGAAATCTTATTTAATGGTACTTGAGCCGAAAGAAGGTTATATTTATGGTAAAAATACTATAGCCATAAAAACGGGGACGACCCACGCGCCCGCAATGTGAATGACGTTCAAACTGCTGGCAATAAAAAGAATTATTGTTTGTGGTCTAACCACGTTCATTACTTCGGGCACCCCTTCAAATGTCACTAAATGGAGAGTGACGATGCAGAGATAAGATACAGATATATACATCTTCCTACGAGTCAAAGTAATTTATCATATTTTTGTCGCGAGATAACAATTAGCGCCTGTGATTTCTGTATACGAAAATTAATTAGCCATAGCGTGTGGCGAAAATCATCACATTTTTAAAGATCTGGTCAAATGTGGGTCTTGCATTGTGGAAAAGAGAAGATCTTTACGTAAATCACTAAATGTAATTGAAAACATGAGCAAGGTCGTATATCTGGTCGAGTTATAAAAATAATATATAGCCGTTTAGGCAAGCTTAAAAGCATAGCACCTCCGCCGGGTTGCTCAGAGCGCGATTAAGCTAACCCAGGATAACTGGTAGAATTTTGATTTGAGTTTTGTAACTTTGCAGTGAGGTTTTCTGTATATTGTTTGGCCTTCTGTTTTGAGTTTTAACACAAAACAAAAGCAGTGAAAACAGTTAACTTTTAATCCTGGGTTAGCGTTAACCGGCTTCCGAACAACCCAAATCTAGCGTGTATGTGAGGCAATTTCGGGCTATTTTGTAGTTTTAGCCCGAAATTGCCTCGCATCCACGTTGGATTACATTGTAATGCAAATGAGAAAAATTAACCGTGAAAAGGGCTATTGGTCATAACATGCCGATGTCCAATATCAAAAAAGTACAGGCTGCATATCTCTGTCAACTATTATTTGGAGTATGGCCACCATCTTGTGCGACTCCGTCGCCGCTGTCGTCGTGCGTACGCGCCCACGAGCATTACCGCTAGCCGTGATAACCATAAGAAAATCCTTTCCTTTTCTTTCCTATATGAGTATGGGGCTCCGCTTGGCGCGGGCCGCTGGAGCTCCGCTATTATCACTTGCATTTCGAACTCAGATGAGTAATGGGTAAGGCCAAGAGAAAATGAGGTGGATCATGGTCTCTTGGTGAGGCCAAGAGATTATCAAGGTAAGAGAGTGAATCCTATATACCCCAGGTAATTCCTCTGAAGTTATTTTTAGACATGGCACCCAGTTCTTCCGAGGATGTTACTCGCCCGATGCGTGGACAGTCCAAGCAACTTTCTCGAAACTACCTAGGACAAAACGTCGGAAAAGTCATTTTATATGTTTTGATTTTCAAAAGACGTTTCATAGAGAGATGTTTTCTGCACTGACAGCCATCTTTTTGTTCGGCCGGGCTTTCGTTTGTTTTGCGCTCGTTTGGCTGATTATTATTTTGCTGTTTATTTGGTTTTAGGGAGTTTAATAAGCAAACTTCAACGGCAACGGCAACGAGTACAATGGCTGTGTAAGCGTGCGTTATATTGCTATGTTCATTTCTTTGCCGTTCTTTACAAAACTGAACAACGTGAAATGGCAACATTCTGCATATTCGAAAGAACGTGAACTACCACGGCCAATTTGTTAAATTTCTTTTTCGAATTTTGACGCTGTCTTGCATCTGTTTGGGATATTTCTGACAGCATAGAAAACTGAATGAATCACGGATGAATTCTTGCGAGATTCGTGGATTTCGTAGGTTCGACGTTGTCTTTGGCGTTGTTGCCGTTGTTGCTTAAACTGCCTTTTGCCGCTTGGGCGGCGAGCATCTGCCTGCACCTTCGACCATCTGTTTGCTCGGTTGCCTAACTTTTGTTCCGAAGTTCGTTCGCTTTGCACTCGTTTGTCTAAACATTTCTCTGCCGTTCACTATTCAGTTGTCATTGTTTGCGCAGGGAACATACATCCGTCTCTTATCAACTCTTATTTAAGTCCCGAAATGTATTAAAACATAGCGAGAGCCGAAACTTCTTTATACTCCTTTGTTTGCAGTCAAAACATCAAAGAAGACATCCTGATAAAGTTAGAGGTTTTCCTTTCCTTTAAGGGCCCATTAAAAATCGGTTAATGGGCCCGTAGAACGGAACGAAACATTACACTGTAACACATCGGCTCCACAAAAACATCCACGCGACGCGCGAGTAACATCCGCGGAAGAACTGGGTTCAATGTCTAAAAATAACCTAAGAGGGATTATTTTGTATATAAGGCCTATATGGGCCCGATTCACTCTCCCACCTTGATAATCGAAAGGCCGCCTCGCTGCCGAATGCGAAGACAGCGGACGACCCACGTTCAAAGACAATCATGTGTTATGTCACTTGCACTCGATATCTTATTGCGTGTTGCTATTTTTAAATAGTGACATGACAGCTCGCGCACAGAGTGAGAAGATATGAGAATACTATGAAGGCTTGAAATTCTATCTAAGAACGACTATGGCCAACCATAGCTTTTGCGTTCTTCTTTGCAGGGACTACTAGCTTACCCAAAGCCGTCCGAATCGTTTTTTTTTTTTTCTTTTTTTTTTTCAAAAACTGACCCCCTCCCCGACCTTATCTACCCGGACCCCTTGGGGGAAAGGGGTCTAAGTCTGTTGTCATAGTAACTAACCGGGTCTCAGAATTTTCAAGATGGCCTCTCGCAGTGAAAGTCAGGAGAGCGGCGTGAACGAAGATTTGGACGCTGAAAATGTCGTTAAAGTGGACGAACCTGTGGGTAACTTGTCTAAATACTATGCTCTACCACCTGGATATTCTGGAACGCCGAAAAAGGGACATCTGATGTTCGATGCGTGTTTTGAAAGTGGAAATCTCGGCAGAGTTGACTATATCACCGAATTCGAGTATGATTTGTTTATTCGTCCGGACACCTGCAATCCTCGCTTCCGAGTTTGGTTTAATTTCATAGTGGAGAACACAGCGCCTTATCAACGTGTCATATTCAACATCGTGAACTTCAGCAAGACGAAAAGCTTATATCGCGAGGGGATGACTCCACTGGTGAAATCTACCAGTCGAACAAAATGGCAAAGAATTCCAGCTAAGAACTGCTTTTACTATCGCTGCCCTGATCACAGAAAAAACTATGTCCTATCGTTTGCGTTTGCCTTCGATAATGACACCGATGTTTATCAGTTCGCTTACTGTTTCCCTTACACGTATTCGCGTCTGGAAAACTTCCTTGATGAACTGGATAAAAGAAACTTGGAATGTTACAAGCGGGAGTTGCTTTGTTTGACTGTGCAACAACGGAGAGTTGAATTGCTAACAATCACTTCACCGGAAAACATGAAAGATGATCTCAAAAAGAGGGTTATATTTATAACTGCTAGAATTCACCCAGGTAAGATATTTTTATTATATTAATGTCATGTAAAGTAAGGCTGAGGGAAAATCTGAAACTTTATGAAGATATGAAAAAGAGCAGTAACACAGTGGCTCGCGTTCCACAGCAATTCATTGCTCTCCCAAACTTTTACCCTGAAATGTTTTCTACTCTGATTGCCCACCATACTGTAAAATTCTGGTTATAGGCACCAAGCATATACAACTTCACTAATGAATAGTCTTAGACGTGTATTTCTTGAAGGGGAACCTGCGTTTACAAGCCCCATGGTTTTTATTAGATTCCCTCGCCATTTTTTCTCTACCTTTTGCATACCAACAGTTGTAATTTCTTTGTATCTTTTTTATGGAAATTGAAATAAAAATGCTATGAAAAAATAAATAAAGTAAAAAGGTTTTGGGTGGGCTTATAAACTGGGAAGGGAGGGGCTTACAAGTGGGTTAAAAAAATGTCTTAAAGGCTCTAACATCCAGAGGTACCAAAGGACATTTTCCATTTACAGGTTTTAAGGTATTAGTATACCCCAAATGACCTTTATTCATAAGTGATTAACTATACCACATTGTTGGATATATTCTAACCGATCACATTCAAATTTAGACCGGCACCACTTGCATTCAAGCTTTCTTCTCAGCCTTTTTTCAATTGCAATCTCGTCACCGTACCATGATGCACTACTACATGTATGAATAGTAATTAATCTGGATTTAATTGGTACCATCTGGTTAAGAGTATCTACAAGAATGAGCTTATATCTGGATACGGCAGAGACCAGACACAGATTATCATCCAATAACCCTCCTTGGTTAACAGTATCAATGAAGGTTTCAACATACAGGTTCTTGAGTGCCCAGGAGACAACAGTTTTACATTTGTTAGGTGGTTTACCAAGTGTCAGGTTGAAGGTACAATGTAATTGCTTTATGATCAGAGATTGGTTGCTCAGCGATGCAAAAGTTAGACACCAGGGGAACTGCAGCGGATCTGGTGATCACAAGATCAAGTAGTAACTCCATTAAATCCAGTATTTTAACTCCATTAAATGTCACAATAAATTGATATACTTCATTGCACTGGATAGAACAAAAACTGAATCAAATCTGTACATGTGTACATTTGATTACCTGTAAATTTAATTTAACTGTAACTGTAACTAGAGCATAACAAAACACAAACTCCAGTTTGTGAACTGTCATTTTAAATTAAACATCTGTGTGGGTTTTCATTCTCCACTACTATCTTGAGATTGGTCTTCATTTTGTCCCAAGAACAGACAGGGACCTAAACTTAAAATTTATTGATACAGCCCTACTGGATTGGCCAGAAAATGCCATCTGATGCCGACCACCAACTCTGATGAGTCCAACAGTTAATAGCATTTTTTGTATATAAACCATTCTCTTATTTGTATTTCTCTGACCTGTTTAGCTTTGCATCTTATTCTGAAGAATACCATAATTATGCTTTGCTATTAGAATGGTTTTTAGTAGAGTAGAGTAGTGTGAATATGGTTTGCTTGTAGATGATATTTGGGGGTCACAGCCCTGGTATCTGCTATTAACATGGACATGTTTGTTATTTGCCAAATGTTTTGCTAGCATAGTTTTATTTCACTCACTTCTGTTGCTAGATAAGTGTTAAGCTTTCTTAATGCTCTCTCTGGAAGAATAAGGTCTGAAATTTCCATAAGGATGTGGCTTATATGTGGTAATTCAAAATTACATTCCCGCACGCAAGTCTATTTTACATGCTGTCTATTTTACATGACTATTTTACATGCTGTCCCTATGCTGCACTGCTATATGGTCTTGATTCCCCATATCTAACCAGTTGCCAGGACTGGTTTTATTGGTTGTCAACTTGTGTTACCACGCCATGTCCAGCTACTCCTTCACAGAGAGAAAGATATTTTATGCAGTCAGCTAGACTCAAGCTGGCATGCTTCTGATTGGTATAAATTAACACTGTGTAGTTCCAGAAGATATCCATACCTCCCCCACTGAAGGGTACCCCCCCCCCCACCACCACCACCACTCTGAAAATAATTTTCAATTACCAGTTAGCTTCATACAGCTCTTTAAATTTTTTGTTCCTAGAGAGAAAGTTTTATATCAGGTCAGGGAGTTTCTAAATCCCTGTTCAAAGTCAGTGAAAAGTCAGGGAATTTTATCTTAAGGTTGCCGCAAGTTATTTTATTAGATGTTTTTGTGTAAATAAGACAATTTTGTTTTAAAAATTATCTGAGCCATCCTTATTTTTGTTGATTCATGGCCAGAATAGTCATCCTGTAGGGTCAGTGAAAATTGCTTTACAGTCAGTGAAAAGTCAGGCAAAAGTCAGGGATATTTTTTGTTCCGGTGGGTGGCAACCCTGTCCAGTTTCAATTCTGTAGCACGAAGCAGTTACATGTGGCAGTATTGCCTATTCCCCCCCTGGAAAGGATGATAGTCCATCTCAGGTTACACTCCAGCATTCTGTCAGGTTGCCCCAGCAATCTATTGTTACCCATTTATACACCTGGGTGGAGAGAGGTACTGTGAGAGTAAATTGTCTTGCCTAAGACAACCACGCAATGACCTCAGCCAGGGCTCAAACTCAGACAACTTGATCCTGCGCCAAGTGCACTTAAACCATCACACTTTCCATTGTAGAGTGCGTATCTTATAATCCGGAAGACAACAACAACAACGACAACAATGGTTTATTTACTCTAGACGCTTAATACACATTTGTGAAGAAAATTATAACAACTTACAATAACTTAGGGAAAAGATATGTGCTTAAAGTCGAGCCAGGGCCGAGTTATTCCCCTGCCTTTTACGTGCAAAACAAAATAAGACCAAGGGAATGAAATAGACAAGTAAATAAGGTTCAAACACAGGTAGACAGACCGAACTATATGAGAAGTGGATATGCGTAGTAACAGAATGTTCAAACTATATGTTCAAATGTTCAAAATATAACTTAATTTGTTTCGAAAATTGGTACACATTAAGGTTTTTCAAATAATTATAAGAAGGAATATTATGCCAAAAGACGCAAGCCGTACAGGATGTAGTTTGTTTCCCGGTGTTTGTTCTGAGATGTTATGGGCATGTCAGCTAGTCCTTGACGGCATGAATCAAGGTAGCGTTGCAAGGTCTATAGTGGAATAATCTATGTACAGTGGTCTCCCAGGCAAGCTTGATTAAAATGTAAGAGATTTATTGGCAAACTCAACCATATGAATGACATTTTACCTGCTTTAATTATACTTCGAAAATGCTTTTGTACCAGCAGTTAAGAATGGTGACTGTGGCTAATTCAGTTATCGGCTCTCTCTGCTTTGTTAGTTTGGCAAAAAGGATCTTTGTGTTCGATTAACAAAATTTCTCTGTTGTCTCTCTCAGGTGAAAGTCCATCATCTTATGTCTGTCAAGGTGCGATTGACTTCCTTGTGAGCAGCCATCCAGTAGCCAGAGTTTTGCGAGACTATCTGGTGTTCAAAGTAGTGCCCATGTTAAACCCAGACGGTGTTGTTCTCGGCAACTACCGTTGCTCTCTGATGGGTTTTGACTTGAATCGACACTGGCAAGAACCATCGCCTTGGGCCCATCCAACTCTTGTAGCCTGTAAGAATCTTTTGATGCAACTCGACGAAGATGCAAACGTTCACCTTGACTTCTACATCGACATCCATGCGCATTCCACCATGATGAACGGCTTCATGTATGGCAATATTTACGACGAGGAGGAGAGGTTTGAACGGCAGGCTGTGTATCCGAGGCTTCTATGCGCTAATGCAGAAGATTTCTCCTTGTCTAACACGTCGTTCAACAAAGATGCTGTCAAAGCTGGCACAGGGCGTCGTTTCCTTGGGAGCTGTCTCAACCCAAAGACACATTGCTACACGCTAGAAGTGTCATTCTTCAGCTACAACACAGCAGTTTCCCAAGGAATGTCACCTTACACTGAAGAAGGCTACTTCAAACTTGGCCGCAATGTGGCGCGGACGTTCCTCGACTACTACAAGCTAAATTCGCTGGTGTTGCCCATAAAAAAGAACACATCAAAATCTTCACCTCAGAAAAAGGATTTGAATGGAGATGGGAAACAACGTTTGTCTGGCAGAAGTGACTATAGTGGAAGGCAGTAAAAACAGTGATGTCGAGGACGATGTCTCCATATGTACATATATTTCAGTTTTAATAACCGAACTCCAAATTTTATGGACTGATGACAATTCGGAGCACAAATTTAAACTGAATGTCTGAATTGTCTCCATTTAGAATAAAAAATAGCCATCACAAATTTAATTTATTGCATGTATTTATAGGTGACGAACAGAAAAGTTGATTTTAGAAAACTATTTATCAGTCGTTTTTTAGCATTTTTTTTTTTCTTGTACGTAATATTCAGTATGTTAATTCCGTCGGGGGTGTTAATTTCAAGGTTTGAAAGCAGTGCTGGTCAGTTAAGATCTAGAATTCACTTCATTGTGAATTTCCTTGTTTTATGTAAACGTATATTTTACTTGTGCAGGTAGCACTTTAACTTTACGGATAAGACGATCATCTGAACTGAGATATCTTCGTTTATTTATTTTAGAGACAAAATTCAAGTAGTAACTATAAATGTATGTGAAAACAGAGTTAAAGTGTATTTCTTTGTTGTGTATTTTTCGGGACTTAAAAGTTGCGAAATTTGTACAATAAGTCTGCATGATAGATTAACGATGTCAACAGAGTAGATATGTGTGATGTTTGTAACTTATTTTCAGTAAAACACCCTAAGCTGGTGTGCTAAATTAAATCGTGGTCCTGCTAGTTGCCTCGCATCTAATCTACTACCAGGCGTTTATAACAGGGGACATGATCACTAGCTACGTAAGAGATAAGATAAGATAACTTTATTTATACACGGTTTTTCCATCAGTCAACAAAGTTACTGGACTATCTACCTATCTGCCTAATTACAATAAAAATTTTTAAAAAAACTGCATTTCATGGAGGCCGTGTCTAAAAATTTACTTAAAATTGAGATGTTTCTTTAAACTGTAGCGACTTAAGTTAGATTTGAAATCGGTCAGTGAAGATGCTTGTCTTAGGTCTATAGGTAAGAACTGAACTCCGCTGTTCGAAAAACTTCTCTTAAGATAATCAGTTCGAGGTTGTGAAAGAACCAATTTGTGTAGACCTAACGTATACCCTGCATAAGTTTAAAAAGAAAACTATCAGCTAGAGTCGACATAGTTCCCTCTTAAATCGCTACCACTTCACCAAGGGCTCGTCCACACTACGCAGCTGAAAACGCATCAAATGTTTTCGTGCACACTACGCCGGAGAAATTTGAAAACGCAATTATTACCGGTCATTTTGGGTTTGTGTTTGAGGAAAACTCGGGCCGGCAGAGAAATCACATGATTATCGTGACGTCATTGTTTTCGAAAAGCTCCATTTCTTAAATGTTTTCCGTCCAAACCAAAACGCAAAGCCGGCGTTTTCAAATTCCTCCGGTTGGAACAGCTCTTTCGAAAAGCTATGTTTTCGTGACGGATTAGTATGGATGGTAGGCCTAACCGTAGAGATAAAGCCCACGTTTTCAAATTTCTTACACGTATTATGGACGGGGCCTTGACTTTTATCATACTTCCTGTCCATTATCTCTTAATCGAGAAAGTCGAATCCAAACACTGCGAGCGATTTATAATTGGACAATAATAAAAACCCCGCCTTTTGCCGAGTGCTTTGAGGGGTGTTCAGAACTCTTGATTTTAATTGATGCGTTGCCACAATGATTAACGATTCTGTGTTTCACATGCTTCCTTGAGGGGCAAGAATCTTTGGTCTGCAGTGAACAAAGGTCTCTTTGTGAACTCGTTTATATAATACAAGCTGAATAAATAGCCAGCCTATCATCATGACGAAAATCGTCTTCACTCGGCGGCCCGATATGTATGATTAGGCCAAGGTCACTGATCGTTACGGCTTGAGATGGAGTCGAGTGTGAGGAAGAGACGTTTGTGCAGAAATACGTATAAATCTTTATGGGGCACGAGAAAGGGTCCGAGGAAAATAGAATTCTCACAAAACCACAAACTAAGAGAGTATTGTTCAATGTTCGATTGGGAGTGGGGAAAAGTGGGTGTGGTCTTCTCTGTTGCCCGAAGTCTTACCCTTTTGATACTCATCTGACTGAGAATTATGGTTTTATTTCTCGACCAATATATTTTGGGAAAAAGAATCCAAAAAGAAGTAATCCTTTTCCACTGTCTTCGCGTCAATTGGATTATATCAATTTGCTGGCCTTGAGTTATAGACACACGACTAATTAGTTAAAAGGGTTTTTTATATAATAAACAAAAAGTTAAGGCCAATCATTTGCGTTATATGCGTGCGCGTGGGTTGTTCCCAATGTTTTGGCAAGTAACTATCTAGATGTAATCCCCACCCTTTTAAATATCATTAACCATGATCTGTTTAGTGTAGTACACGAACTGATTCGGTTCACACCTCCCGCGTCAACACATATGTTAGTTTTGGGTCTCTGTCAGTATTGTTGTACGATTGTCAGTGTTGCCATCTTCCTTTCGAATCTTTCTTAGAAACATGCGAAATTCAAATTATTTGTCGCTCAAAATGAAATATGATAGTGGTCTTTGTACGTCCTGGCCGGGAACAGGCAGCTGTGGAGGTCCTTTGCTGCTGCCTTGTGTGCCAGTGGGCACGACGGGCAGTGAGTGAGCTAATGAGTGACTCATTGTACGCGCATGTGCGAAGTCATTTAGTACTCCTCTTTTCAGCGATATTTCTGTTGCCGTCGCCGTTGTGGCTTTCCACAGGGAGATTACAAAGAAAGCAAAGAAAGCACACAAAGCTCTCTTACTTGGACAACGTTCTATCCTAACTTCTGGGTGCCTGGTAATCTGGCCACCCTCCAACAAGTACTACTCGTTTTGAAGGGTTTTCCAAGTTTTGTCGACACGACTCGGATCGTTCAGTACAAGCTTTGATCCGTAAATCAATTCGTTTTTCGAGACTATGAACGTGACGGGATTTCTGCAGGAACTGGGAATGCAGTCAACCTTAATTATTATTACCGTTTTGTACTTTTAAAATTATTTCCTGTGGAGACCGGTTTCAATTAAGCAAGACTCCAAATTTTACATTGATCGGTTTCTAATGCTGAGTTTTCCCTCTGTACGAAAATCTGGTATTTCCTCTTGAAATCTTAATAACATTATGCTGTGCTCGGTCGTTGGAAGTTATCGCCCAGGAAGTTGGATTTTCAGGCATGAGCTGTACATGTTCTTGACTACTCGGCTCCATTTTCAGGCCTTGCGAGAAGTAAAGTGGATAGCAAAGTGTTCTTTTTAAAGGTTCAATTCTATCATGGGATGATGCATCGGCTAAAAATTTCAACCCAGTTTAATTTCATTCTCGTATGCTTTTCTGTTGTTCTTTTCTGTTCTGTAAACTGTGCTAAATTAATTTCTGTAATTTGTTTTCCCTACATTGGTAATTAGAAAACCAGAAGCTAATTTTTTTTTTATTCACTTAGCAATTTTTTTTATGCTTCCTGCTAATTATCACTTAAAGTTGAGAAATTCGACAGTTTTAAAAAATGTGGTGTATAAACAATATTGTAAATTAAACGTGAGTACTACGAGGGTCGCTCAAAAACCTTTGATTTATTATTGATTTCAATCCAAATAATGCCTCACAGTTTTACACTCCAACCTTCTAAATTTGAATTTGACGATTTTCTCAAGTGACAATCGGGAAACGGTGGTAGTTGGAATGAAGATAAACAAAACATTTCTTTTTTCGAATCTTTAAAAGGCCGACTAAACAGTCTATCATCACCGACGAAGATAAATTATTCACTAGATCGGCGACGCGATGGCAAGATCGATACGGCGTCAAGAAGAGAAGTCCTTGTTGAACGAGACCTGAGGTTTGAGCGCCTGATAAAAGATAAGCGACAAGAAAGGATTAAGAGAGAAAAGAACAACGAAAAAACCACAGATCAAGTGAGTCACGTCCAATGCTTGGATGCAAAAAGCCGGAGAGGAGGGGAGTGGGTGTTGTCTTGCTTGTTTCGCAATTCCCCGAGGCCTTACCAATTAACCATTACACATATGAGTTCGAAATGGAAGATATATTTTTATCACGCTCGACCAGATCTATACCGTGCTCACGTTTTATATTCCGTTTAGCGGCGGGCTTTATTTAATCTCTTTTGTCTACAAGACCCATATTTGACCACAGATCTTTCAAAATGTGATGATATTTACCACGTGCTATGGCTAATTAATTGTCGTGTACTTATCAACAGAAATCGCAGGCGCAAAGTGTTATCTCACGACAAAAATATGATAAATAACTTTGACTTGCAGGAAGATGAGGGATGTAAACATGTATGTGCTTATCTCTGTACGTGAAGTCTTTTAAGACTTACGTCACTCTATATTTAGTGGCAATTAGACCACAAACAATAATTCTTTTGATTGCCAGCATTTTGTCGACCTGATTAAAATCCGTTTTTATGACATTTTCCACCAAATATAATCTACCTTAGTTCAAGTACCATTAAATGTGATTTTTTGGGGGCTGGAATGAAGATGAGTTTGTTCCTCTGAATTACATATTGCATGCCTATGGGCGCTTAGCTTTATGCGAAGCCTCGGTGTATGAAATACCATTATGATAGTAACTTTAAAAATTCAAATTAGTTTACGTCTAAAATATTTCGGCAGTATTCAGATATTTCACATTATTTCGCAAATGACGGTTAGGATATGTACAGGTGAGAGCTGACTCCAGAGAACTGATCATGGCTTTTATTTATCATCGGTAGCGGAGTTCACGTCTCGACGTCGCAGTCGATATTCTCCGCAAGTGCACGCAGAGAATGGAAGAGAAGGTGACGAACAACATACGAAACATTTATGCTGCTTAAGTATATTCAACTGTCTCCTCCAAATGACTAGCAAACTGTAACAAGTGCAGTATTACGGGTCTAAGTTTTTTCTTGCACTCTCGCTGTCCACGTCTTTATCAGGGCAGGGGGTAGTAAAGTAAAGTAAAGTAAAGCAAAGCAAAGCAAAGCGAAGCCAAGCAAAGCAAAGCAAAGCAAAGCAAAGCAAAGCAAAGTAAGGTAAAGTAAAGTAAAAGTTTTATTAATGTGTCAATGCACTTAGCTTTCACAACTAATTGGGGACACAACAAAAAAAATAAAATTATTTACAAATAAGGAATAATAATAAAAATGTATATACAATTAAAATATGTAGCATGTGTAAATTGTACAATTTATACAATCGGACAAACTAAGACACTTGCGCGCATAAAAATTGCAGGAAGATGATTCTTCCTGAGGAAAGGGTACACTCGACGTTTTGATTTATTTCTCGTATTTCTTGATGAGGCCAGCTTTAATGAAGAAAAGGTAAAAATTTACTCCTGTATTTCAGACGCACTTGCACGAAAATATGGTATTTCCTTTTCAAATCTTCATAACATTATGTCATTAGTGCTCGGTTCCTGTGAGTTATCGCACAGGAAGTTGTAAAACATGCTTTTGTTCTTGTACTCTGCGAAGTAAGGCATAGTTTCAGCTAAATACGTTTCTAAATGTAGGTCACTTCGACAGCAAACCTCTTTAATACGGACCAAGAGACTATACTATGATCAAAAGTCTCTTTTGCGGACATGGGACAAGGCCATAACTGCGTTTTCCTGTTACTAAAGTGTTCTTATTTGAAGTAGAGATTACATGAATTCTGGCTTGGTTTAGACCACATGAGTGAAGTGTCCGTAAAAAAAGTAGGCTGCTGTCTGTAAGCATGGGTTCAACCGGCCACAAATATCTGGCCGTATCAACGGGGTGGCCATGTTAAGGGGTTCTGAAAAATGACTGACAAAGCTTTTGTTCTGGCCGTAAAATCGAGGTGGCCGTAACTGGGTTCCACTGTATTCGTCTTCAAACATTTTTATACTTCCTGTCAATTAATTATCACTTGATTTTGAAAGTCAGGGATGCAGTAATATGTAACAATCAAAATCACGAGCTTTAAATGCGAGAATGACTCAACACATGATTTTAATCTGGGTTTTCTTCAAGTTTTGCTTGAGTTTTTTTTTTTGTTTGACATAGTTCCTCGAGGGACCACCATCAGCGGTCTGTGGTAAACAAAAATCTCTTTAGGACTCATTAGAAGGTAGACAAAAGAACATGTCATGACGATAAAATACTAAAGCTTGGCGACTAGATGGCTTGATAACATTACATGTAGGTCATTAAGTCCAAGACTTAAATATGTGGC